ACGTCAGGGGAGTTGAAAAACCAGAACAATATTCTTCTCCATAAAATATGATCCTAGTTATCACCCAAGTCACTGGATATAAAGTTGTGGTGTCTTGTGCAGGTAAATTCAGTGAGGCTCCACTAGCTAAGCTTAATGCGTCGGTTAATCAGGGTGGACAGCAAAAGAAAGGAATTTCATTGCACAAGAGGAAAACTTTTCTTTTGTTGCATAATGGACAATAAAACATCTGCAAACTAGCCATGGCTGTTTAGCCCTAGGCCTAGCTAGCGTAAACTAATGAATTCTTTGCTCTCTATCACTAAAAGTTGGAAAAGGTTGATTGACGGCTGTGAAAATGTTCAAAGGACTATTATTTGGTTGAAAAAATCAGTCTATTTCATGCTGACGTAAGCACGCTGTCACATTTAGTGACACAATTGGGCAATTGGATTTTCTTGATAAAAAAAATAATAAGAAATTGAAGTTTTTTTAATTATCATTTGTCCAGGTAGACGTTAGCGTCCAGTGCGCGTAGAGAAATGAAGTTGTTAAATTGGGCGGATTGGGGGCGGGGGACAGCATAATCGGTTAAAGTTAATAGAAAAATTACTGGTTTTTAAGTTTTTAAATCGCTTTTGTCCAGTTTGCGTTACTTGGGAAAAGTCCGCCCTTTTTTCGTTAGCCAACGTTGGCTGCAGTAACATTAATAGTAACAAACGTTTACACTAGCAAGGAAGTGTACTAGTTAGATGTTGAAATCACAAAACATCAGGCTTTAAAATATAATAATCTCTCCTAGACAAAATTAATTACCAACTCACATTTTCCTTTCTTTCTTTCTTCCCCATAAAGTAAGAAATCACTTAAACTGAGCTGCTGCTGTTCGTTTTCATCTAACCTCTGGAACCTGTCGCCAAGCTGCCAAACTCAACTCAGTAAAGAAAGAAAGTAGCTATTGGCTGTCCTAAAAGTCGCTTAGAAAGTCCCTAAAAATGAAGTCATATCGCTAATTTTCATTAATTATTGGCAATTTGCCTGATGTAACGCATGACATGGACGCTGTAGGGACCAAATGGTCATGGAAGAGACAAAAAAATTAGTAAAAAAAAACCTTCAAATGTGATCAATTTTAATTGTTTAATTTATTTTTGGATGAGAAACATTTTACACCCCGCTCTGTAAGCCAGTGCGGGAACGGTGGCGGCCAATGCGCATGCACGATTCAACGGGAAGTGGCGTCGTCTCCTCTCTGCATCTGACTTGCAGGCTGGGACTGGCTGTGCGGACGCTACTGTGAGACTGAACCGCCTATGGAGTGCTTCTGGGACGGGGGGAGGTTTCAGGGCAAGCACCGGCTGCTCGTTGTGCACAGTAACGAAG